CTCGGCCTGCCGTTACCATTTTTTCAAGAACCCAGGAACAGTTGAATTATTAAATCCAAATACCTTGGTGAGTTAGATGGGTTGTCACCTGTTAGTGTGTTTCACTGCATATATGTGTGTGTGTGTGTGTGTGTGTGTATGTGTGTGTGCATCTGTCTGTCTGTCTGCAGGGGGTAGGACACCACTAGTGTGCATCTTTTTGCACTTGACATAGATTATCATACTGATAGGACAAGGGTCGTAAGTCTGACCTCTTCAGCCCCAGCCTGTGCAAGCTTGCTTGTGTGCGTGCGTGTATGTGTGTGAATGTGTGTGCGTGCCCCATCTAAACTCCAGAGATCAAAGTTTTTGGGGGAGCGGGAGGCACTGAGAGGAACTCAGGGTGAAGGGCGGAGCACCCCTCCCTCCAGTCCTCCATCCTCCATCTTTTGCTTACTCCCAGCGCCTTTTATCCGGTAAGCTGCTGCATGTCACAGTGGATGCACAAGAGGGTGAGAGGTCATCTTGGCATTTGGGGTAAATATTTCAAGCAAAAGAGACCTTTTTATGTATACCTGATACCTGATTTTCCTTCAAACGCACTGAGAATACTTTTCATTTCCCTGTCTTAACAGGCCTATCTGTCCTGACTCTATATATCCAAGCTGCACGCACACACGCACACATGCACACACGCACACACACACACACACACACACACACACACACACACACACAGCTTCTGTGTTTAAGAGAATAGGTTAAGATACAATAGTCCCCTTTTGGCCCCACAAGTCAAGTTCTTCCATTCACTCCCATTCATCTACATTCTGCCCCCGCTCACCCCCCACTTCCCCTCGCTTTGGCTGGGGGCACAGGTCACCACAGGGCTTTACCCCCACACACTCCTCCTGCCAACACACACACATGCACAGACACAGAAACACACATGCCATGATCCCGCCTTCCTGTGTTCCCATCACTGACACAGCTGCCATTTCCATGCTCATAAGTTACAGCAGAAATGGAAGGTTTCTTGCATTCATGTTCATGCATACTGTAATTGTACAATTTTATATCACAGTAACAAAAACACTTCTAAAGCTTGCTTGAGAGCACTCAGTGCAAAGCTTCGTTCAAAATGCAAAGATATAAATTATTAACCTGATTGGATTAGCAGTGTTTACTCCACTTTAAGTCCGTAAGAGGAAACAGGTGCACCTCTCCTGCACTGAATTTAAGTGGTGAGGCCTGCCTCTAAATAGCCTTTTTTCACAGCAGACATTTTTTCTTACCACAGAAACACCAGTAGAGATCAGGTTGCAAAAATAACACTAATGAAAGCTCAGTCACATTCAAGTTCAGCCATCGTTAACATTATTAATTACACCTGTACCTTCCCTGCCACAGGATGACATGTCAAAATGTCATGAAAAAGGTGGCAATCGAAAGCAAAAGAATCACTTCATATCTTGATCTTTTTGGTGAATTTTATTTTCAACCAATGGATTGACAAATAACAAGGCTTCATGCAGAAACATGCCAGTCCATTACCAATAAAATTCACCAAAAAGAACAAGACATGAGGTCATTCTTTTGCCTTTGAGTATCACCATATTTGGTTTAAGGGACAACAAATACATTGCTTTTCATCAGGCTATTAAATGCAAGAGTGAAGGGTTTTTTTTTTCTTTCAAAATTTGGGGGCCTATATTAAGTGGGGAATCTGGGGTCCACTGGGGGCATCAAACACTTCATTTCCTGCATTCTGGGAAACATTGCATGCACTAATTTGTGCTTTTCCTGCTTTTTTGGAAATGTCATGGTACTTCCTGCATAGTTGTTTCATCTTCTTTCATGGCAGATTCCAACCATGGCTCGTGAGGTTGCACACTGCCACCACCTTCTTTACTGAAGGTATTGTTGCAACTATGAGCCGCGTTCTAGCAGTAGTCAGAATAAAAGTTCTTCATTGCTTTTATGTTTCATTGGGATGGGACAAGTGAACGTATTCTGAATTTTGAGGGGAACATACCCCACCGCCAAAATCTCCACTATGATTAAATGCTTTGCTTTATACGTGGAAAGTCCAGGTTTTAACCTTGTCCGATGCACAGAGGTACGTAAAAGACACTGTAACTGTCTCATTACAGCATATGGAACATAGTCACCTATACTGACAGATAGATATTAACAACACACTCAACATGAGAAAGCTGTGTGATAGCTGGCCTTGTGTGTGTGTGACTTGCGTATGCTTATGTCTTTTTCCTTCTGTGTACAAATGTTCCTACCGACAAGCATATGGGTGTGAGTGTGTGCAAGAAGCTTGCATTATTGTGTATTTGTGTATGTGTTTGTCTGTCCATGTCAGTGCATGCTGTTCCCCCCTGTCGCCCCTTGCTGTGTGTGTGTGTCATTATCCAGCGGGGGCTGCTCTAATGGAAGCTGTGATTAGCAATGCTGTTAATTAGACCACAGAGCCAACCGCGCAGACCTCTGCCACAGAAACACTGCAGATAAAACGCACAAGCGAAACGTGACGCCGAGCAACACAATGCTTTGTGGATGCTTCGATGGAAACGTGAATGAAACAGTATTTTTGATAGGAACTGTGAATCGCAGGGTCCAGTCATAATAAAACAAGAGACAGAGACGTGTTTGGCATGGTGCAGCACGTCATGCACATAAAGAACAAAGTGAAACAATAATGCTGCTAATTAGATAACAGAGCTTCGACTTCAACTGCAGATTCAACCACAGAGTCTTTGCCACAGACATCAGAGCTCAGTGTGGGATACATTTGTGTAATTATACATGCCTCTGATGATATTATTCTTGTCAATGAAATATGGCTTCATAAGAAAAGTGGACCACGAATACATTTTGAATTGTTATAGCTGGAAAAGCACTAACAACACAAACCATGGCTCCGTGTCAGTAAACCAGCAGGCACAACACCAGGGCTGTGGAACAAGAACACCTAAAGGACACTGAGCCATCATAATGTTATTAAGTTACACCTGTGCTTTGCATCAAAACTTAATCACCAGCAAAATTGTATATTGTACATTTCTGCAAACCACACATACTTTACATTTATACATCATAATGTAGCAGACACATTTAAACTATGTTTCAACAATGTTGAGGTTAACATGTGATTTGGTTTAGGGACAAAAACCACTTAAAAAAAAGATTTTGTTGGCACTGTCCTGGCAGGAAATGCGGCATCATCGCTGTAAAAATGTACAATGCCAATATTTTCTTCTATAAAAAGTAAAAATGAAAAATAAAATTATGGAAATCACAAGACTACTGCATCTCTTCAGTGGACTCAATGATACACTGGTTTTTCCAAAACAGCCAAGCATTAAAACTTTTCCAATATTTTGAGTTTTTATGTAATTTCTGGCATTTCCACTATTTTTTCTCTCTCACACATCACAAATTCAAAATTAGTAAGGGACATAAAACTCGGTAAAAAATGGAAAAACAGACTCTGTGCACTAGACTATGCTCCCATAAATACTGAATGAACACCGACATTTCAAGCTTCATGCTCTTCTTGGTCTGATGGAGAGTGTGAAGCTTGAAACATCACCTCAGTGGTAATTCAATCAAATATTTTTGGGAGCATTGTCTAGTGTGCAGACTCTGTTTTTCCAGATTTTGCATGATCTAAAACCTAGTGTTCATAGTCTGAATGTGCTTGCTTTTGTAAAGTTTTAACACAAAACAAGTTAAACATTGATCCAAGGTGTGTGCAAACTACCAGCTACCCTTGTGTGCTGAGAGTAAAGGTCTCTAGAACAAACGTCATCATGGCCTCTGCCAATGAGGTTTTGTTTTCTTTTTGGTTTGGTTGTCTGTTTGTCAGCAGGATTATGGAAAAACTACAGGCCGATGTTCATAAAACTTCATGGAGGGGTGTAGCATAGTCCAAGGAAGAACCCTTTTTTTTATGTGAACATGAATTTTATCTGAATCACGGGACAGATACACAAATTATTTTTCACTTTTGTTAACATAGGGTATTTGGCCTTGTCGGAGGTCTGCGCCCTGTAAATGCCTGTGTTGTTATTCATCTGTACTCTGTACAGTGTGTGTGTGTGTGTGTGTGTGTGTGTGGGTGAGTTGGGGTGGGGGTTGTGTGTCAGGTCTTAAGTCTTTGTGCTCTGCTGATGGGTGAGTGGGCTGTATCCGAGCATATCCGAACGCTCAAGGTGCACCTGGGATTCATCCTGGAACCCGCTGGAATGTTTTGGAAATTCATCAGCAGTGGGAAAAGAACCCCATACTGTATCTGTGTGTGGTGTGTGTGTTTGTGTGTGGGCATCCGAGTGTTTGAGACAGAGAGCGAGAAATAGCCCCCAGTGGCGTTCTGTCACCCCCCCTCGCTCCGACATCTGGTCCTGTCTCATTTACCGTAGGAGACTGTCTGTGTGATGGCTTTTTAATGCCACTGACGCTGACACACACACACACACACACACACACACACACACACACACAAACATGCACACACACAAACATACCGTATACATACAGTAAATGTGAGAACCCCCTTATGTGCACACACACACAGATCACACCTCCATTAACATGCATACAACATTGATCCAGTATGACAGCGTATATGATCAATAGTGCATGCATAAACCGACTTCTCAGGTAGCTCTCTGGTGAAGCACCGTTAGAAAACAAATAGGGGTTTCTGAATGAAGATGTTTGGTTTAGAACTCCCATATTGCACCTGCACACACACACACACACACACATACACACACACACACACACACACACACATCTGCCATTGATCCGAGTTCTTTCCATCTGGGCTCTCTCCATGTTGGAAAGGAAAAGGAAGGGGACCAGAGGCTGCCTACTTTGTTTATTTATGTTGTATATGTGCACTTGAAAAAATGCCCTTCCCACAAAAAAAAAAAAAAAATACAGTGACGCAGGTGAGATAAACAACACTCAACCACACACACACAAAGACAGATTATTTTGCTCACCTTCGTCCCTCTTCCTCTTGCCCACGTCCGCAGCTGAGCTGATACCCAGAATGCCACTGATGGAGTACGAGGAGCCGGCTGAGTCGCTGGTCACTGCTGACACTTGTGTGGCCGCTACGGATGTCGCTGCAGACAGACCACATGACAAAACAATGATGTACTGAGAAATATGAGCAAGGGAGGAGAATAATGACTTATATCTAAGCCTCTGATAACATCTGCATCATTTGTTCCGCCTTACAGTATATTCATCTCAACAGAAAAGAAATTATTTTAAAGCTTTTGTAATCAATTATGAAAGTCAGTATGATTCTCAAAATGAAACCACACTGTAAAAAAATGTACTGCAGCTCAGATAAACTAGGTCAGCTTTTGTGAAAGTGTATCTCAAGGAATCCATTTTGGATTTTATGTAGAAAGGGAGAAATACACATGTGGCCACTACTACTATGAAGCAACTTTCCCTCTTCTCATTTCTTAGTTTGTACATCCTTGATTTCTTTCCCTGCCCCCTCTCCTCCCACCTAGGATGCAAGCAGAGGAAACAAGAAAGAGACATGACGAGTTGAGGCAACAGGCTGTTTTAAAGTGAAGTCAATTAAATATGCACAGCTGCATCATCAGCTGTGTTCACATCAGTCACACCTCTTTTATAGATCACAGTCGCCAAAAAGACTTTTGCAAAGGATACAGCTGTGCATCCTCACTCAGCTCCTCGAGCAACTTTCCTCTTTCCACGAAATGCATTTTAGGAATTGAGACATCCTTCAAGATGGCGCATTAATATCTATTTCTGGGTCACAGGCAGGAGGATGGAGGAGAGAGGAGATGAGGAAGCACAAAATACAGAAGAGAGAAGAGCCCCTTGTTTAGGGCACATTAAGTGTTCTTCATATGAAATATTTAAAAGCATATTAAAGACTGGTTTCACTATATGATATTTAATAGACAAATAAATCGCACTGCATGACACCGAGTCACACAGAACCTTGTAGCTGTTATTCTTATCATACAAATATACATATACATTTAATAACGTGCTATGACTTAAATCATTTGTAGAAGTATCTTAAGTACACTGTGAAAGAGGATTTTGGAGGATGGTAAAAAGTCAGACTGGGTTTGGGCCAAAAATGTGTGCTGATTGGCTGGGTCAGGTAGGACTCAGGCTATGGGGGGTAAAGAAATGTGATTAATTTTTTTGAAATAAAGAAATAATATTAAAAAAGCAAGCAGTCTGCACGTTAATTACTTGTTTATTATTTATTTGAAATGTAAATCCAAAACATGTTATAGATATATATGATTGATTGATCACAGAGTGGAGAGTCGGTGATCTACCTGATCTGGTCCATTTTCAGCTGGAGACACGTGTGACATGTGCGGCCACACTGTTAGTGTGTCTCAGTCGTTAGAAGTCAACATGTGCTTTTTGGGGGATGGGGTATGGTTAGGTTCAGGCTCCATATTTTATGTGATATCTCAGACGTGCTGGGTTCGGGTTGGCTTGGTTCAGGTTGAGACCTCTAGGTTGGTTGGCTGCAGAGCTACACAGCTAATTTTCAGACCTTTCAAGGTCACAGAACAAATGTGGCACCAAACTGTCATTTGTATTGTTAGTTATAATGGCAAAAGTAAGTGAACATTGCTACTGATGAATTGCTTAAAAAAGTTGTTTTACTGCATAACATGACTTTTTTTTTCTGGATTTTAATCTTGCATTTGCTTCTAGTTGGAAAATTCCAGAAAATATTATGCCAGAGAAGTGCGGCAGAGAGTAAAAAGTGTGCTAACTGTCCCCAGTCTCCACTAATGTTGAATCATATGCTACTACAATGAAGATTTGGGAGCCATTTTAAACCAGCATTTATGGTTTCTATTACACGTCTTCATTCAGTTATTTATGGTACCTTTACAATCAAAGATACAGAACCAAAAACTATCAATGAAATCCTACTTTTTCTTATAGATAGATGCACTTTAATCCTCTAAAACTTTTACTCAGCCACACAGACCAAATTGAGGCTTTTTAAAAAAAAAAAAAAGCCACAAAGGAAGGTCTGTCTGTGTTTTGCCCCTCGTTGTCTCTCCCTCTAATCTTCCCCCTGGAGGAGACAAGTTCCTCGCTGGGCGACACAGCGACATACTTGTCACCGCTTCAGTGACAAACACACACACACACACACACACACATTCTGCAACCTCCTGACACACACACACACAAACACACGCACACACTGAAACATACAGTCACTCATTCCTTGGTCCCTTATCTGTGCCCCTGTAAGCGGACATGGGGTTGAGTGACAGTATGGCATCCCAGGAGGGACAGAAAGGTGTGGAGACAGACATCCTAATCCTCTCTCCCAGCAGACCCCCCAAACACAGAAAGACGAGACCAAAAAGGGAATAAAAAAAAAAAGAAACGATAAACCCGAGGATCAAGGTCCCTTCCAGCCGTTACTCCTTCCGCTAACGACAAGCAGAGTATAATGAATGCATATCCCTCCTTTTCCCATCACTTGATTTAGCACTTCAATTATCTGATTTTCCTTTCTCTTTCTTTTCACTCCTTTTTTTATCAGAACGTAACGCTTTTATTCTGCAAATCCAAATGTTCAATTTTCCGCCTGGGAGTGGGACCCATTTATCTGTGTAATCTGTAAGCGTGCGTGTGTGGGTGTGGGTGTATCTAGGTGTGTGTGCGTGTGTGTGCTGCTAAATGTGTGTAAAAGGCAGGAGACAGGGAGCGGTGTGTGAAATTAATTTAGATTAATAGACAATGTGTGATTATGAAGATATGAGAGACACCGAAACACAATCCACTGCAGGGCAAAGTGAGGAGGAGAGAGGGAGAGAGAGACGGAGGCTCTCATATTTATTTGTTCTCTGAGATATTCATCGAGTAAAAAGGAAATAATGTTTCAGTCATAGCTATAATAGATATATTGCTTCAGTCTGTAACATGATTAGAAACTACAAATGAACAGTGAAACCATGTTAATCCGAAGGAAAAGAGTCAAGGGTCTTTGGATGAAGGATATTAATTTCATTCATCCAAGAACAGATGAATAGATACTAAGAATCAGATGTAAGGGTGCAATCTACTTTGTGTTAGCAAGAACCAAACATGGTCGAATTAACCCACAAATGGGCCAAAATCAGCTGTGTATGATCCAGGGCTGTAATCACCTGTTTACCACACCTTCTCTGACCCAATCCTCCACCCACCCAGCAACTAAACTGACCCTTTTAGAGCATTTTGAAAGCTATTTTAAGGAGACAACATATAAGTGAACGCCACACAGGGAAAGAGCGCACACTGACGATATATATTGTATTTCTATTTTTGTGACATTCTTATGGCTAACACTTCACAAAAACTATCACAATTGACCACAGTTTGTGGGTCCTCAACCAGGAAATGTTGAGCATCAAACACTTAATTTTCTGCATTCTGGTGATTTTTATGCATCAATTTATAGTGTAAATGTCTTTACTTCTGTAAAAATAAAAGTCCTCTGCTACTGGGGACCCAAATGTACATTTTAAATATTGAGGGGGGCGTGTCCTGTGCGACCCCCCTGAAATCTACACCTATGAGCCTCCATAACATATTACATTCTAGTTTTTCACTTTTTAATACATTGAAAGTAATGAAATACAGAGAGAGTACATGTTTGACATTGATTGTACCTACCCATAACAGTCAAGCAATGGCTTCTGCTGGGGTACGGCAACACCACATGGACAAACCACGTACAGGACTGCAGTACACTGTAATACTAAAACCAGTAGTAGTAATAACTGCAATCTCTTAAGTTTATTTATGATTGTGATTAGGCTATATTTATTAATGGTTATCTCTGAAGGTGGTGCTTGGTTGCCTGTCATAGCATAGGACATTTTTTACTTATTCTTATCATTATTTGGGAGGGGGGGCCAAGGTGTGATCATTTGGTTGAATACAAACTCATTTTAGGCAGGTACAGTAGACCAGTCATAATTCAGAATCTGTTTTCAGTTCATAATGTGATTTAGTGGTGCATATTTTAAAACAAATGTGCAGCTAATCGAATTACCACAACCCAACTGACACTCAATAAGACTGGGCATTTGTGGCCCCTGAGGGCAGATGCCCATTTTGCCCAGCTATTAATCCAGCCTTGCCGTAAACTACAATTTGGGAACATACTATAATGCTCTATTTGCAAATATGATCTCCTATAGCAGAAAATTCAGTGCTTGTGATTATTTTTTATTGGCATTACAGCGCCAGTGTTGATGCTAGTCGTCCTCCCTCACTGTCTCCCCCCTTTTTATCCTGTCCGCTCTCCACTGTTCACCCAATAATAAGAGCATCAAGTACAAATATTGCACAAATCCCCAGTTTACTGACCACACTGTTTAAAAATGTAAATATTACATCCCATTAACTAACTCTGTTCTTAATTAATTTTGGGACATCTTGATTAAAACATTCAAGCAAAGACCTTTGTGGCACACTTTCTCACTGCGAGTAAATGTCCAGAATTTCAATACGTTTCATTGTTCCATGTACGGCACACGGGCTCCTGAGAGATTCACACAAAAATGGCTCTGCTGTAAAAATTGCTTTGACAGTCTGAAACAGGATTTCTTAAAGCAGCACACCTACCTAAGTTGTGAGCCGACACTGAGCCCGTTTGGCCGGGCGGCTGCTGAACCTTTGTCCGAATGATCCTGCAGGAGGAGAGAGGAGATATTAGTGTGTGTGAAGTGGTCGTTTGTGTGTGTGTGAGAGGATTCTGAGTGACAGAGAGAACATGACCATCGTGGGAGCTAAACCGTGTGTGTGTGTGTGTGTGTGTGTGTGTGTATGTGTGTGTGAAGTGGCTGAGGCAGGAGGCTGACATGGCAGAGGGGCCTCACACTTCCTGCTTGGCTGCTCATGCAAGCCTTTTCTTCCTCTTTCCTTTCCTTTTCTTTTCCTTTCCTCCCCTCTTTTCCTCTCCTCTCATGTCCTCTCCTTTCCTTTCCTTTCCCTTTCTTGCCTTCCCTTTTGTGTCTTTTTCTATCCTTACTCTTGCGCACCTTCCTTCCCTTTTGTCTGCCTCTTTTGCTCACTCCTTCTCTCTCTTATTTCACCATCCCTCCCTCTCTCTGGCTCTATGCTCGGGGGAAAGGGTTGTCATTGTACCATCGTGTTGAACCACTGAGCTGCAGCCACTTCATACATATGGAGACCGGGGCCTCTTTGCCTTTCTCCTCTCCACTCCCGGACACACAAACACACACACACACACATAAAGAAAACACAGTATTATATTGCTCTGAGCTCTACCTACACTCAGTACCTATTGCTATAAGTTGATACTCAAACACACAGACAGAGTACACAGACTGTAGTACCTGTTGATGGAGCTGACACTTGGGACGCTGTCGTTGTCACACACTCTCTCGGCCAGGAGCCTGTCCCGGATCTCCCAGGCAAACATGGTGGGGTTTTGGCGTTTGTAATCGGCGATCTTGTCGACCACTTTGGGAGTAGCAACCTTTGGTTTGGATCCCCCGATTACCCCGGGGCGGATACTGCCCGTTTCATAGTACCTGCCAATCAAAGTGCAGGAGATGCTCATGTTGGTCATAATAACACAAGAAGGTTGAGGCATTTTTAGAAGAAGTGTTAGAACAAAACTGCTAGAAGGTTGAATCCATAAATTCAAACTTGTTATTTGTAATTGTTATTTCATATTCACCAAGCCCCATAGGGTGTTTAAATTGGTTACATTGTGCCATGTTATCTTGAAATTAAACATTTTGATTCAAAGATTAAAAAACATTTTAATGATCAGTTGATGTGACACTGGTGCTCTTATTTGGACATTGTTTATCAGTGAAGGTGATTGTGCAAATGTAATTGAGTACCACCTAAAAAGAAAAGGTTTTCACTAAGGCCGGCGTTGGTCTATACTTCTCATATTGTCAACTTATTTGTTTGTGGTTCTCAGCTCCAAGCTCCACTGAACATGTAAATCTTTAAAAATAGGTCACAAATATAAAGTTTAATTTCTTCTTGAGTTAAGTCATTTCACAGAACAGCTGACAACTGACGTGTTTTGCAAGATTTGCTGCTTATAACATTTAACACCTTGTGGTGATTTGGACATTGTTCCACCCAGTCTCAACTCTTTTTCCTCATGGCCTCTCAGTAGATAAATGACTTCCCTGCTGCAGTCAGGACTTCTCTCTGGCTCGAATTCAAAAACTCTTAAGAAAACATTTCATGTCTCTCTGACCTGTCCCTCACCCTTCTCCTTTATTTGCACCTGATCTTGAAAAAAGATGATCCTCCTGTATTGTGTCGCATTCCTCGAAGGATATTTAGCTTCACACTCTCACTGTCCGCAGTGACAAAGCGAAGTGACGAATGAGATGCAAAATCTGCAGAGGTTGTCCAGTGCAAAAATGTATTCTTTAATTCTGTTGAAGCTAAAATTAGTCTAATTTCGTCATATGAAGTGGTTATTTTCCAAAGTCACAGTCTTTTTAGTGTGATATTCCCTATTTGTTTACAGTATATTCTCCCACGGCAGTTTAGCAAGGAAACACTAAAAGAGTAAAAGCTGATTGTTTACAGCTGCCACTCTACATAGACCAGCAGATGCAGAGAAAACAACTGTTGTAACTATATAAAAATGTTAATATCATATCAATCAGTAAATTAACCAACACAGTCAAACAGAAATATGTGAAATGGACACAACCTCTTAACAACGTATTATGTGGTGGTGGGCACAAGATGTGTTAAGATTTTGCTACACAATACACTGCCGAATGATTGCAGTTTCATTGCCAATGGTTGCACTTTGATGAGGTTTAGGTAAGGATTAACACTTGTTTAGGAAGTTTAGGAAATGGCAGTGGTTTGTTTACAATGACTACATACAGGACCTAAGTGACGTAACCTTATGTACTCTGCATAGTTATACAAAGTCAGTAAAGTCACCTAACTACGCTGACTTGTGGTTTTACTTAGGACACAAACAGCAGTCTTCTACGCAGACTTTCTCACTCTTTATACATAGCATGTGTCCATCAAGTCAAAAAATCTTCATTTATTTTGCATTGGCATTATTTTCATATTGCCAGCACAAAATTTTAACACATTCCATGCCCAACCACCACATAATGTTTTCTTAAGTCTTTGTGTCCATTTTGTGAATTTCTATCAGACTGGGCTGAAAAAACAACGACCATCACACCACTCAGTATGATGAAATCCCGCCAATAGGTTAAGGTTACCCAGAGTCACTACATGTGAAACTGATCTTGTCAGTCTTCTCTGTGGTTAAAATCTCACTACGACTTGTTTGTCATGCTGCAGTCATCAGAGCAAACTGTGGATAACTGTCAGCTAAAATGCCAAAAATATTTACGATGTCTGACTCAAGCTGGCTGTTGTTTTCTTCAGGATTTTCGCATTGTGACACAGAAGTAAGAAGAGGGTGGCACTGACACACACACACACACACACACACACACTAATGCAAACACACACACTCACAGATTCAGGCGTTTCGTGTCCACCATGGCTATTTCATGAATGTATTTGCATGCAGAAGGGGCAGGGGGGGTGGGAGGACAGCAAATGTGCTACACAGCTTGCAGAAAAAGGGGGGATGCTGTGTGTGCGCGGATGCAAGCTGTCAGTCAGTCTTAAACCTGCTCTCTCTCTCTCTCTCTCTCTCTCTCTGTCCCTCTCTCTCTCTCTCTCTCTCTCTCTCTCTCTCTCCCTCTCTCTCTCTCCACCGCTGTACGGTAGAGTAATCCCTTCCGTGAAGATGTGTGTTCCTGTAAATGTGCGTTTTCTTGTCTGTCTTTGTGTGTGTGTGTGTGTGTGTGTGTGCGCGCGTTGCCCCTATGTGAGTGTGTTGCACATTTTGACTATTCACAGCTGGAGTATAAACACAGCTAAAGGAAAAAACAATCTATTTCCAAATGGAAAACTATTTAAATTATTCACAGCTGAATCATTGGTGAATAAACGAGCATGGTTATTGATATCCGCACAACGATGAGCTAATACACACACACACACACACACACACACACACACATACACAGACACACACAAAGTGGTAGAGTTGGTGTTTTTATTCTGCTGGCACCAGAGAGACAGAGAGGAGAGGATAAAACAACCCTCCCTCCCTCCTTCCATCCCTCGATCCCCTCTCCTCCCCCCCTCACGGTAACGCTTCAGTGAGTTGAACGGCCAGGACAGGGAGAGAGAGGGAGATAGAGAGAGAGAGACAGAGAGAGGGAGAGAGAGAGGGAAAGAGAGGCAAGGGAGAACAATGAGCAACACATTTTTTGATATAGCTGAGGGTCGCTGTAGCTAATCCTTCCCCTCCGTCCCCTCAAATGGTCTCTCTGTCTCTCTTTTTTCTTTTTTTCTTGCACTCTTCTTCTTTAACACGCCTTTTCCCCTTTTGATTGTGTTCCTTGTTCTTGTCTTTCTCCCTTTCTCCATCTCCCTCTGTCTTTTTTTCTTCCTTTTTTGGGGAGGTGCAGAAATATGGTGCCACTTTCATTTTGATGCTAATTCCAAAAAGTGATGAATCTTTTCCCTTTTGTCCCCCTTTCTTCTCCGGGGGACGGAATGAGCAGGGATTTACTCTTGAATTTAGCTTTGAAAAGGCAGAGAGGCCGAGACAGAGACTGAGAGAGAGGGAGTAAGAGAGAAAAGCGAGGTGAGGAGAAGACACTGAAATATTGAGAGGGGTCGGACGAGAAATACAGGATATGGAGAGGGGAGAGGAAGGTTAAATGGCAACATAAAGAGAACAGATTGAGAGAAATAAGAAGCAAGCAAAAACAATGTCAGCAAGCAGTGGAAGTGCAGCTTGTGCATGATGCTGAGGGAATCAAAGAAATGGCAGAATAGGCACTACATGAGTCAGTTTGACCTGACAGGGGCTTCAGTTTGACACATGGTTAGCCAACACTGGACCTAAAGCCTGTGTGTTCTCATAAAACTAAGCAGAATGACCCAAAAATGAAGCCGATACGTTGAGCTGTCCTGCTTCATCCTACAGTCCATTGCACTTCAAAGATTTTGGGAATCAGGAAGCCCACATTGTTATACACCTTAGCCAGTTACACAGACTGTTGGCACACTGTTGAGTGCATAATAAAGACTGTAAATATTTTCAGCACCATCATCATATGGTCATAGGTGTTTTTTACCTGCCCAGTATCTTGCTGACACATCCGTGGCTGACTCGTAGCTGGCGTGAGATGTCGCAGGGCCGAACCCCTTGGTGGGCGAGCTCCACTATTCGCTGTCGCACCACATCTGGGAGGGGCCTGCCGTTTACAAACACACCTCCGAGCTGGTTCACTCCTCCATGTCCTAGAAGAGAGAGAGTGACAGAGGGAAGACAGTTTGAAATGGATCAAAACAAGGTCAAGGATGAGTGAGAGAGAGAAATATCATGGCTGCCTGGAAATTTAATTAGGTTACAGGCAACGAAATGAGACAAAGAAGAACTTATTCAAATGCAAGTGACCAAATGGAGGTTGATGAGGCAATGATGAGAGGTTTTAAGAGGACTCTGTGGTTTTGGCTTTAGCTACATGTGCAACAAATAAAAAGTACATAATGACCACTAAATCAATGATAAAAATGTCTTAATTTATCCGAGGCCCGATTTTTCCTCTTATCAGATTTTAGGAAAGACATTGGACAGGCATGGGAAGTAACGTCTGCTTTTCAAATATGATCATCATGATTCTTCTGTCAACCTCAGATAACCTCTTTATAGATTAATTAAAACCATTTTTTTTAAAGAAACTTTGATTTTAGACTTAAGTTTGTAGGAGGGGTGTGATACAAGAGGTGCTCAATACAGCTGCAGTCCTCCATTGTTAACTGGCCATGGGCGAAGGTTTCATTTCAACATTCAGGGGGACACATGAAACGGGGGATTTGGGGGTCTTCCAGAAAATTTTGAGCACCATACGCTTAATTTCCTGCATTCTGGTGAATGTCTTTAATTTTGTCAAAATAAGTCCTCTGCTACTTTCACATTTTTATTGGGGGTGACAAATGCGCATGTTCTAAATATTAAGGGGGAAGTATCCCCTGCATTGCCCTGAAATCCACTACGCTGACTGCTGAACAGCTCAACTGAAGCAGTTGGAGTTAAAATGCCTTGTTAAAAGGCTGTTCTGTCAGCTATTATTAGTAATGTTTACATAAAAATGACATCCAATAGTAACATTCCAGTCTGGATTAAAGCGTCCATATTTTATCTTATTTGCTCGGCTTTAATGCCGCCTGTTCTCATGGATTTCTCTTGACCAGTGAAAGACGACTACTCACCAAGACTTCAACAAAAACATTATGTCGCATTTGTGCCATTAACAGCTTGTTGCTGTGTGTCAGCAGTTGCATGTCAAAACATGGCATGCTCCCTAAATCACTGACCAACACTGAAAAATATAAAAGTAGTACAAGAAATCTCTTATTTTGCTATAGGATGTGCTCTGTGTGTGTGTGTGTGTGTGTGTGTGTGTGTCATTATTGTTTGGAAGGTTTGTTAAAGAAATATTAACTTCAGGAAGGATCCCACAGCTGCTGGAGTCAATTTACTATCACATATACATGTGATTTCTCTCCTGCCGCTGATTTATCTGGCTCAGCATAATACACCAGTTTGACTATTCCAAAGTGCAAACTTTGCCCATTTTCACCCAGGGCAGAGTAAGCTAAGATCTTAAGTAAATGAGGGGATTTCAATTAATTATTGACCAAGGCCTGGCCCTGGCCCCTTACTGAAGGATACCACTAATATTCCCCCTGAGGGATGAAACAGAAGGAAATGAATGAGAGAGAATAAGACTGGTATACACGAGAATAGACTTAAATAGAAGCTCAGCCTTTACAGAATTCTGATGTTATAAACTGATAATAACATTTGCTCTTCTAAATATTAGACACAGAATAATGGCTAAGTTCTGCTTTGGACTGACTGATTTATATAGCAGCAGCAAAGGAGCAGGGACATTAAGCAGGAAATGGGTGTGAACTGGAGCAAAGGCATGGGCGTAAGTTTTGTTTTTACAATTGGGGGGACACATATGAAACGGGGGTTTGGGGACATCCGCCAAAAAAAATTATGCATCAAATACTGTGAAATATGTCTTCTGATACGTTCCGTTCATGTTTTTAATAGAGGGGGACGTCCCCCCCGCGTCCCCCCCAAATGTACGCCTATGACATGGGATTTAGTGTGCATTCAGATCATCAGAACATAACAAAAAATGTCCAAAGGTGACGTCTTTAAATTACTTGTTTTGTCAGACCAACAGCCCAAAATACAAACACTCATACAGACACTCAGTTAACGACCACGAAAGACTCGTAACAATACTGAAGAAGCTAAAAATAGAAAATTACTGACATTTTTGCTTAAAAATCACTGAAGCAAATAATCAGTTATCCAACATTTTGCCAATTAATTTCTGTCAGTCCCCTAAACTATCAGTCAACTGATTATTTTAGCTTTAATACCAGACCTGGAGCCAGTCCCAGCATGCACCTGAAGAGAGGCAGGGTAGACCACTGGACGGGTCAGCCGTCTAAGGCAAGCACACTCTGTCAGACACATTCACACTTCTGCAGACTCTCCATCGAAAGCTCCAAACAGTCAAACCAGGTGAGAACCTGCAGGCACTTCTTCCTGTGAGACAACAACCACTGTACCAGCCAATATGTGTATATATGTAATAATAATATAATATAGTCAGCAGTAGTGGGGTACAGTACACAGCAGAAATGAAAAAAATGAGAAGAACTATTTGGGACAACAGTGTGTGTGTATATGCTGTATATGTGTACTGTATATCTCACCAAAGGCAGAGTATAAATCAACCAGATTTTTTCCACCACATAATCCACTGGCTTTTGTATTACCATAGTGATTACGTCTTTAGGGGAAACACACACGCACACACCCTCACACACACTAATCCTAGCTGTGGGGGTAATAGATTTTAAACACATTACCCCAGCAGGGATACCCCCTTAAACACAAAGCTGTCCCCTGAACCTGTCCCCGTGTCCTCTTCTTCCCTCCATCAGCATAAAATAAAGAAACACACACACACACACACACACACACACACACACACACACACACACACACACACACAGCCTCCTCCAGCTCAAATATAAATAGATCCACACATGGGGGATAAATACAAAAATGTGAAGTCTACAGTCTCATTCTGTGAAATCAAACAAAGCTATTTCCAAACGGCTGATGTGAGCGGTCACTCTCTTCCTTACTACTTTATTTTTTGAGATAGAAGAAGCCTCATTATGCAGATGCCTGCTGCAGACAGCACAATTTGAAAAGCAATCGCTCTTTACAAAAGACACCAATATATAGACAGAGTCATATTTATGCAATGCCCATGAACGCCAGGCTCAGCCGAAGCTCAAAGTCTAAACGGCATGAAATGTAACAACCAGCATGAACCTTAAGGACAATATAATCACATCAGCTGTAGCAAAAGCATTTTTCATTTATCACTGAATCTGTTCAATTAAAGGAGCAATCCACTAAATGAAAGCCTGGGTGTTTAAATTCTTCAGTTTTGTGTTGGCATGGCTGTGGTGGGACAGGTGCATTAAAGGGGCACTCCACCTATTTTACACATCAAAACCAGTTCATTCATCATGTAGGACTCAGCTTTAACTTCTGGAGGAGTTTTGTGAGAAATCAACCCTCATGGTGTGAGTTATCCCAGCTTGGGTTGAACACTACAAATTGCAGAAACACTACTGATGTGTCTAAGGCTGACACTTTTGCATTATGGGATATGTAGGATCCAGCGTTTGGGGGACATGACCCATGGTAGGGGCTCGTGTTGACTTCATACTGGAATTTCTAACTTCGAAACAACACCTTGAAAAATATCAATATTTGATATGATTTCAACACCATGCTGAAGAATTAAAATCAAGGGCATAATTTTTTTTTTAATAAATATAACAATAGAATGACTGTAGTAGAAATGAACAATAAGAGAGAGCGAGAAAGTGCAGGTAGGGGACTAAAAGTCAGGGACATTATTCTGGGCTGAGGTAATGCATGTTTTTAGGTGATATATGAAAATATTTCTTAATGCCCTTAGTATGTTTGATAGGCAGCACTGCAATAATATCACACCACTGCCTCTGGATGAAGTCAATCATTAATTGGGAACTGAACTGATAGTTTTTAACTTGGTGATTGCAGATTGTATTTGGAATATTTGCTATTTATGGAAACAAAATCTGGGCCATACAGCCAGAAGGCTGTTGTGTACTGCATCTGCTGTTTAAAATGATATCAAATATATCTATAAGAATTGCGTCCTTGTACTATCTCGCATTATTATGATGATTTGTTGGCTTTCCTGTGAGTGAACATGCTGGTGGTGGAATTAAGGTAAGCAGGTACTATTCTGCTCCTGGGTCAGTGCAGGGTGGAGTCAGTTTTATTTACATGCATGGCCCAAAATGACATTCTCAGATTTCCTTTAAAGGGCTTTACAGACTACACCATCTATCATGAGATCATCTGGGAAGCACTTCACTGCTGCCTGAACTCCGCTGATCATTGGTCCTCTTTCATCCCTACATATTTTGAGACATTTATTAGAAAGTTTATGGTAAAGAGATGATTGGGAACAGGGGAAGAGAGAGGTCCCTAGTTGAACTTAAACTGGGGATGTCATCGTTCATGGTCAGCACCTTAAGCGTAGCCCTAAACTGCCATTAAACTGGGGATACTCAACTGACTGGAAGCCAGGGGCCAGTTAATAAAAAACATTACCAATATCTATCTGTGTATATAATAAAAGAACAGCCTGTTTTCAGCCTGTCAACGTTTGCTGTCCTTACTCATCTTTGCCAAGAAGTAAATGAGCACCAGCCTCAGACAGGTCAGGTGTGGGCAGGCGCGTTGCTAGACTGACATTCAGGGCTTTGCCTGAACCTTTGTTGAGGGGTCTGGGGGGATCTTCCCCTGGCCCTTTTTGTATAAACAAGCTTTATTTTGATGTTTTTTTTGCACTCTGGCACCTCATTTACATCCAAAGTACAAAAAAATTCCCAGCATGAATCAGTTTCTTTTCATTTTGAGTTAGAGAATGGTCCTCACCCTACCATGGCCCAACTGGGTGCTGGGTGGCGCGCCACAAGTTGAGGGAAACCTTACCAAACCTTACTGTTCTTGTAATTTTTGTGTGTGTGTGTGTGTGTGTGTGTGTGTGTGTGTGTGTGTGTGTGCGTGTGTGTGTGTGTGCATGTTGGGATTTTATGATCCAACTTGGTGCTAAGATGCAGAGAGAAAACTCTTCTCTCTCACACACACACACACACACACACACACACATTTTCAGATTTACCTTAACGCCAGAGTGAGCCTGCTGACCTACATGGACAAATTCAAGCCCTCAACACACACTCTCTCGCTCTCTGTGAACGTTTTGTATAGCTGTGCGAAGGCATTATTCCTCCCTCCTCTCTTTATTATTATGTCCTGAAACCTTTCGATGAATAAAAGCACAGTTTTTGCAGGCTCGTTTATAGAAGCCGACTGTGCTACGTCCTCCTCACCACAGGTATCTGCAGAGAAGACTCGCCCCCCTCCCTCTCTCCCTCTTTCTCAGATAAGAGTAAATGAAATGGTTCCTTTCACCCTTCCTATCTGGGCCAAGGCATGAAATACGCCTTGCTTTGTAAAGAGATGGAGAGGAATGACTTGTGACCTACAAAAACCTCCAGATAACTATTTATTCACTTATCTGTGTATTTACTGTTGGCATTAGACGTTCAGACTCTCACCATTCATGGGGAAGGTTATGGGGATTATGTGTTTGAAATTTATTTTCCGAGCCTATAAATACTGATAGGGACAAATGCAATAACTCACACATTCTATAAAGGCATTTGTTTATCAACCACTGTAGCATAATTCTTTAAAAAGGTAGCATTTTGAAGACTATATGCCATGTTTTTACATAACTGCATTATTTGGCAGCGCAAGAAATGGTGTTGGCCTCAGACTAAATTTGATGTTGCAGGGTGTTTTTTTTTTTTACCATTATAACCAGAAAACAGTCAGATGTTGTCTTGCATTTTGGGAGGAATCCATTCCCTTTCTTGTGGGTAGATGCCTAAAAAAGATATATTTCTAAAGACGTCACCTAACAGAAGAATTCAGGACTGATGTTCCCTCACAGCTGTGTGAGTTTAGCAACAGAGGTCCAGTATCTCATCACACTGACCAAACAAATTAACCACTTGCTCCCAGAAATTCAATCAGCACTGGCCGGGGAGGGAGGTTTTGTTGCAAATTAGATACAAAGATTCTGCCAAATTAGGGTGTCTTGGCTTTTAAAGGTCTTTCCATAAAAAGCTGAACCTACAGTCTCTAGAGGACGGGAAACTGTTGGCAGAGGCAGCAGCTTCATTTTCATCCCAGAGAAACAGAATCAGAGTGGGACAGAGACAGCCAGGGGACCAGGGGTCATTATGCAGCCCTGTTGTATTTTATTTATTTACCCTTTATAGGAGCTGACTTAAAAGCCCAGCACCTCCTTAAATGTTTGATTGATTCACTGTTTCCGGGAGGAAAAAATACAGAGATAAAGCAGAATATATTCGAGCTCCCCCATCCAGAAAATAAAGTCCATTAGGCTCTCTGTCTCTCTCTTCCCACTACATCCCTCCCTCTCTCGTTCCTTCTCTCTCCCTCCCTCATCTCTCATCTGCCTCGTCACGGCCTGACGACTCAAAAATAAAGCAAAGGAGAGAAATCGCAACAAAACGCCACCGGTTCTCTCTCTCTTCTCTCTTGAAAAAAAAGGAAAAAAGGGGGGAACTAGAAATTACTTTTGGCTGAAAACCTGTTTGGAAAGTTGCCCGCGAGAATACAGATGAAGCACATTTCCTTGAGCAAACAGTGAATAGATCTGTGAGATGTGCCAGCCAGGCGTTTTGGACGTATAGTGTTATTTTTCTCCTGAAAGGTGGAGTAATTAATATTCTGTCGGCGAAGTGTGACTCAGGAAACCTTGTTAATAAACGGTTAGATTTATAAATAGTTATCTTGTATAAAAAGAAGTCAGTTTGCAGAGATTCCCGTAAGAAAAACCATGATTTAATTAAAAAAAACTGGTATGATTGCGTAAAAAATGGATAAATTAAATGCTGTTTTTTAACTTTCGTTATTCAGTGGACAGTGGTCGGGATAACGTGCGATTCAAGTAAAATTTGTGCGTATCTCGCTTATTTTTGCCTGTCATTTTTCCCCCTTTTCTTTAAGCCATGAGCCGATCACCAAGGTAGGCCACAGCCTCGCCTACTTAATATTCAGCATGCCACCATTACCATTACAATATGTGATTATGAAATTCAGCTCATTATCATCACAATTACCTGGTATAGATTTTTTAAACATGGCTGCTATATATTGTTGCGCCTATGGTTCAAAACAGGCTCCGAAGTTTGCAAAGTTATAATGAAGTCTCACCAGTGATATGGACCATAGGAAATATTATCTTTTTCTTTTATTGCCAACATAAAAGTGTTAAAGCCGAAACGTACAAAACGAATTCGATGTTGAAATTGAAAAATAAAAATTTTAGGTTGAAAAAATGAAACGAAAGAAGTAGAATTTACAGCCAGCTTGGGTGAATAACTTAAAAGTAGAAAAGACTTGTGACATTGTGAAAAGTTATCTTATGAAAGTGTTAGTACACACACACACACACACACACGCACACACGCACACACACACACACACACACACACACACACACGCACTGCAACATTTCCACGCGTCACAGTCGATTCATCCCAACCTCTCTCTCTCTACCTTTGACATTTTTTAGGTGTAATCGTTTTAAAGCGTCTCCGGGCTTTGACATATATAACTTTAGCTCCGCTGTTACCGTCAGCACCGCGCTTCATTGGCTTTGGTGAAACTGCAGGGAAGAGGAAACATGATTCGTTCTAGTTTTTTTTTTTCTTTTCGTGTGTGTGTGTGTGTGTGTGTGTGTGTGTGTGTGTGTGTGTGTGCAGCCTCTTTTTTTTTAAATCCTGCAGGATAACGCACCGTGGGAACCTCTGTCAGTCACATAACACGGCTTCTCTCCGGGACTAAATAAAATATATATAGCCTAAAGCATAATCTATTACACGCTGAAATGCCTATAGGACGCTTCATTCAGCTTTAAGTGCAGATGCTAAATACGGAGGTGGCGAATATGGGACTCAATAAAATCACATTTTTCATTACATTAACAAAATAGCGCTGATAAAGATTGCTGGAAGTACGCGTAAAGTTCCTAATTTAATTATTTCTTATTATTTTGACCATTACAGCCAATCTTTGGAGTTGATTATGACTGAACATTTTCATTTCAGTTATTATATGTGGGACTGTAGTTAGCTGTGGTGGGCACATACTGATAGGACCTACTGTTTTGTGGTTTTCCTTCGAAAATCACAACTCAGCGCTCAACGACTGAAATATTTTCAATTTTTAAATATTAACACCGGTGCAGGCTTGCATAAAATAACTTCCATGTGAGCTAGTATTTGGGGAGGGAAAGTGCACTGAAAAAACAAAGCAGGGCCCGCCATGTCACGACTGAATGAACAACTTGTGTCCCCCTCCCTCTCCAAACCCTGCGTGTCCCCAAGCCCCTGCTCTGCTGAAGTGTCCTTGAGCAAGACGCTGCTGCACGCTGCATGCTGCTGCGAGGCTGAACCTGTGTGAGCTCTGACCTGCTGGGCAGTGAAAGGGGAATTTCCCTGCAGGGGATCAACAGAGTCTCACCTTGTTATTATTAGTATGATTATAAGACCCGAGCAGATCTGCCCGCCTGCACCTGTGTGCGTAAAGTGCAGTATGTGTCTGTCTAACCTGGTTATGTGCTGGGAACACTGTTACTGTTTGTGGATCAAGTTCAGCTTTTAGTCATGCTTTGTTACCCCGATCTCTCTCTCTCTCTCTCTCTCTCTCTCTCTCTCTCTCTCTCTCTCTCTGACCCCTGCACCCCCTCTTCCCTTCAAAGGGGGAACACAGCAAACCGTCTCACACACAAGGCACCAACAAATACAACACAATGTAGGTATGCACAGCCTGGATTACAATGCATTTCCCAATTCCAAAATAACTCCAATTCCACGCCCTGTGCCAAATTTAGTCACAGTACACCTGCAAATTCACAAACAAGGGAGACTCTAGTGCTAACAATTTTGGGCCTAAACTTGCATAAACACTGCAAAAAATATCTCTTTAGGAGTCATTAAGTGGAGCAACCAACTAAATATATAATATATAAAAATAAGTGTTAATATGGGAAGATATTCAGCTGCACAGCAGATTTCCAAAGTTTCTCCATGGCTGTTTCGAGATTTAAAAAATATTTTTAAACGAATGCAGTCAATTAAATATCAAAACGTTATTTGCAAAAAAACCTTCCTTAGCTTATATTACTCTACACTTTCCAGTAAGAAAAGGTGGTTTCGGACTCAAAGCACGGATGTTTTTTGCAGTGTACGGTGCAGATGGAAGCTACTCCGCTGTTATTATTGCATATGCACTTAGAGTTGGAGGTGTGGGGGTTGTTTCAGTTCAGGGCAGATGGGATCATGCAGATGGGGGGGAATTATAAACGTGTAAACTTACTGTGCATAGCCGCAAACGGGTCGTGCTTACAGTGAATCTCCATCGTTAAGGTGGAGGGGCTGCAGGGCCCCGGTACGGTGTGAGGGGTCTCAAAAATGCCACCGGACGCCCCGCTTCAGTCGGCCACTTTACTGACACAAAGTGACCTCCAGTAAATGGAAAGGGGTGCAAGTCCCCTTTAATGAGAGGATTTTAATTTGCTTAAATAATATCTTAAAAAAAGATTGTTAATTAGTTGACAGCGTTACACAAGTCGAACTAATAAAAACACATTAAAAATAGGGAAACTGGGAGATTTTCAGGTGGACGGGAAGAAAGAAATGGCGTCAAAAATATGACTCAGAGACGGGCTCCCTCCTCATGGGGACGGGACACCACACCGGGTCTGTTCTGGCGTCTCCAAAACCAGAGGAGGGTAAAGACAGCAGTAGCGCTCATTCCCTCAACTGCTGGTCTACAGCGAGTCGCCTCAGTCCAAGGAGAGAAAAAAAGAGTCAAACTTCTGCAAAAAAAAAAAAAATGAAATGAAAAATATGGAGAGCAAACAAAGTAGCCTCCCCCCCTTTTCTCTCCTTCTCGGTCCGTGACCCCTGAACTGCGATTTAGCCGATTGGGGGGGCTGAACTTTCTCCTTTCAGTCTGTTCAAATTTTTAAAAATAAAAAAAATAATAATAAAGGAAAAAAACCCAGTTCGAAAAATTTAAAAAATATTCTTTACAGATCCACGGTTATTTTTCTTCCAAGTTATTTGCTGCACATTTTCTTCTGGTCACAAATCGTCCTCGGCAGTTGCTCTCACATTAACACTTGGTAATCTCCCATCAATAGAACGAGTGAGAGCGGATGAGTGCTCACATTTTGAAGTCTCATATCCACCGTGCCAAAAGAAAAGAAAAATAAAGAAAATTGCGCAGCAGGGAAATTAACAAAAACTCTGCTGTGTGTAAAAGCTGCTGAGGCTGACGTGAGAGTTGTTATCCTGTGAGTATGAAGGAAAGGCAGCTCTTGGTCACTCTGTCTCTTCCCCCCTCTGTGTTGACCAGGACTCGCTGCACGAACGCTACTGGACTCCCGGTTTATGAGTTTGGAGACGCATTTCTTCGCGCTGAAAAAAGCAAACAGTCCTGTCCAAATTCAAAAGGTAGTTTTCTCCGCGCTCACGCCAGAAAACGTCAGAGACTGAGGTGCAAATATGTAGCCTATAAACAGGCTTCTTTAACTACACTGAGAAAAACTGCCTGCGCCCAGCGTCCACGGTGGCGCACGCCGCGTTTCAGGACCTGCTCTCGTGCGGACAGCACCCGCGCTCCCAAACCCCTGGAACCCTAACCTACACGCGCCGGCCAGCTGCCCGTCACTCACAGCGGATCCAGCCAATCAGAAGGCGAGCGCTGCCTCTACGTCACAGCCAACCCCTGATAGAATCGGGCGGGGGAGCGCGCCGATTGGCTGCTGGGAATCCCGTGGGCCAATGACGCCCCACATGTATTGTCCGTCCACCAATGGGGAGGCTCGGCGAAGCGACGCAGGGCTCCGGGAGTAAATGATCATATGTTTAATTTCAATTAACGAAGTAAGAAACTTAATGCCTTTATACCCATTTGCGCTCAATTTATTCATGTCAATATTAAATGGCTAATTAATTGAGTATTACTAAAAATGAGGCTTAGTTGCAGCAAGGCTTTATAAATGAGGGAATGCTCAGGAACTCAAACAGTAAGTGTTGATATTTCTGTATTAAAGGTGGACAGGAAAAAGAACAGAGGGAGAAAAGGAATACATGGAAGCAGAAATGCAGATTTTAAAGGCACTCTGCATTTAAGGGAGACATGTTTAAGTTTCCCTTAAAAACCTTCTGTTCCTTAAACCATCTCTGTAGGCCTACAGGAGTGAGAGCTGTCAAGTGTTATGAAAACAATCACTCCTGCATAATTTCCCAGCTTCAGCACAATGTTATAAATCTTTAGCTTGGGGAGAATTGAGAGGAAACATATGAAACATGCATTCCCACTCATTACCTAATTGATTGCGGATTCAAACGGATGTCGTTTTTTAATGAAATGCAATTGGCGAGCTCCGCATTCACACTCCAAACTGAGAGAGAGAGACAGAGAGAGAGGGATTCATTACATGTTCGTCCCACCTGATTTGAGAGGGCATATCTAAGCCTCGCCCCTGTAATATTAAACACACAAATAGCCTAAAGCATAAGCCAAATTAAAAAAGTGTTATTTCCCTTTTTCCTGATCCTAGACATTTAATCATTTCAGTTCCTCGGTGTTTATACTGCGCGCATAAACCTGAGATTAGACACATTTGGAGCTATACAGGAGAGATACAAGCTAATCACAACAGTATCATTAAAGACACCTGTTATATCATTTAGGATCATTAAGGTGACTCACTAATGAACAACAACAATAACAGTCTTTACCTTATTCATATAGTTTTCAGGTTTAGCCTCACAGGAGTTACATGCTTGATGTACCTCAAGGCAATGCATCTGATACGGAAAAGGTCAATGTATGATATTATTGAGTTTATTTAATTTCTGATTTTTTTTTCTTTCTTTTTTTTGTACATTTTCTTGCTCTGAATTATTAGTGTATAGGCTCATTTCATAACGTGCACTTCAGCCCCCTCAGGTCTAGTGAACTAGAGTTATAAACACTCAAACACTCAGGCTGTCCTCATTAAAACAAACACATTTCTTCCTCTAATTTTTTCCCAGTTATTGTTTTCTGTTCAAAATCATGTCAGAAAGTGGGAGGTTGTCTTTGGTTTTTGCTCTCTGTCGGAGGCTTCTTTTGGTGGGGCTGTGCGCAGGATGAACCGCGAGGGGGCGTTCAACCTTGGGCAATGTATCCTCATGCGCACACGCGCGTGCACATATATACACACGCGCAAATGCGAGACATACAGGGACTTTACAATAAGCACACTTGAACTTAAAGAGTCTTTAAAGCAGTCGCATGGGGCCCTGAACTGGTCCAGAGTTTAAAGCACGCAGAGCCGCATGGAAACATGTTATACACAAACTGTGATTTTGACTGTTAAATAAATCACTCTATTCCTCTAACCCAGATGTTCAGCACTAAATATGGTTTCATAAATCTTCATTGATTCCACGTCTCTGCTTTATAATCCACTGACAGTAAAGTACGCACTAATCCTCATTCATATTTCACATCCTTTTTGACTGAGTATTCATGAATTAGGGCCTCATACAAATCTGACAACCCAGCAAATCACATTGATTCTTTGTTTTTTAATCATAAAAACGACAACACACACACAAACAAGAAAAATTAGAATGTAGATATTAAGGCTTGGATCATGCACCAAACACCAGGCCTGCACCGGAGGCCACAAATCACCGAAAGGAGCAAAAGCAGTCGAATATAGACAATGACAAAAACTGTACGAGACGCTGCGAGAAAATACCCTGGAAATCTGTTGGCTATTTCCCCTTTTTTAGATATATGCATGATACAATATCCACCTTCTTATATTTATAGTATTTTGTAGTCATTCCCAGTTCCCAGATAAATAAATATTTTTTTGCTTTGGCAGAGTATTTGGCTCCAGATGTCTCCAGACAGGGATTCAAAGGCATAACAATATTATATTTCTACGTTTTTTATTTCCCTTTCATTGTGCTCGTTCTGCAGCCCGAGTCTGTTTTTATTTATTGAGATATAGACACGAGCGCCTTTCTCCCCACAGAAGTAAACTGCAGCCGTCGCCCTTGTCTCTCCGATTTGCAAATTAAATACATAAGCAATTAAAAAATCCAAACACAATCAATCATGTATACAAATTGTTGTTGCTTTAGGGTTGGAAATTTGGAGAAAACTTCCATCAGGGTAGGACGACTTTAATCCGGGGGTCCAAATCCATTACCATATTTCATTACCTCTCCAGTGTTGGAAATGGGAGGATGGGAGGGCGGGAGGGAGGAGGAGGGGGGGAGGAAGAGTGTGCGTATACTTTTTTAAACATTAGTAAGAATGTGGTTGACTTGTGATAATCATTTGGAGGCAAATTGGAGGCAATGTTGTTGTTTAAGTGTTCCCTTCTTTCTTCCTCTCCTTCCCCTTCCCTCCATCCACCATGAAAGCTTCGGCTGTTTTGCTTTTTGCGCCCGAGCCTCGAAACGAAAAAGCAATGAAAAATTAATAGCGCATGTTAACTCCACCAGCTCGTTTATTACACGCCCGCTGACTGTAAACATAATGAGAAAGCTCCCGTATCTCTTCTTAAGTTTTCATTTGCTTATAAAATATAAAAGTCGTCACTAATAAATAAAATATATGGACTGGAGAGTGAACCGTCGTGGACTTCCCAAGGTGGAACTCGACTGTGTGCCGAGCAGGTGAACCACACTCACTGGCCTGATCAAATGGACATATCTGTAATAATTTGACTCGATGATAATGCAGGTAAAGACCAGTCTGTCATCTGTCAGGCGCAGCGCAAGGCCATGCTGGCCGTAATATCAGACCTGTGTTATGATGGGGCACTTGAGGTCAAAACGAAAGTAGGCTATGCCATGTGAGGTCATCTCTCTCGCTTTCTTTCTCCCCTCCCTCCCCTCATATTCTCCTCAGTCCTCCATCTCTCTCTATCGCTGCTTGTCTTGGTTTCCGCAACATCACAGAGCTTATTTGGCCTGTGCTTCACACAGACTGTAATGTCTGTTTAGTGCGCGTTTTGGCATCGACTTTAAGGTGGAGAATCAAATATTATACAAGCGGAAATATATAATGCATGGCGCCCAGATAGCCAGGAGATCTGGGTGTCATGGTGTTTGGTCATAAAGCTGCAGGTACGCATGCACAAAAGGGTTGGTTAAAGGTGACACAGTATATCTGCACTAAAGCTGGAACCTAAGTGGTGTCTCTCAGTGAGAATGACCACTTAAGCATCAGGGAATCCAATTTTGCCTGTGCAGGGCTTATAATAATGGAAAGAGGGAGGATATATTTGAAAGGCATTTATTAAAGTCATAGGGGGTGTCAAGAATAATAAAAATAATAATAATAATAATAAAACCAGAGCAGATAAGTGACCTAATTTTTCTCATTAGTAAAAAATAATTTAACGTCAGCCACTGGCCCACTTGTCCTCAGACGGGGACTGAAATGGCGGCCCCGCTTATTGGAAAGAACCGACCTATACGCACTTTTACGCACGGCCAACCTACAGGGCGGGAAGACAGAAGGGGGGGGGGGGGGGGGGGGTGTCTCATTAGATCCACGTTCATTCTCACAGATTCTCCTTTGTACCCCGTGCACGTATTTTAAAGAGAGAGGAAATGGAGAGGCTGTAGGTATAGGCCCTGGGCCCTAAAGACTTGACACACCAACAGGGGAGGGCCTCCTTTAAACTCTGATTTCCTCAGTGGTTAAAAGGTTATTATTCAATTGCTACAAATCCCACTGCTTTCAGCGTTTACCAGGGGTAAGGCCCACTCCACAAAAGCGTGCAAAGGGGGCATTATTTGTCTTACAAACCATAGGCATTACTTGATGACAAATTTCCATAGAAGGCCGGGCACAGGCTAATTTTCTATTATTTCTATTATGAGAAAACATGTCGGAATCGGCGCTTCTTTGTCACTATATTGTGAACATTAAAATGAAAAACAACAGTAAATGCAGCCTGCACCTCAATAAAAATGTAGTTTTATGACTGTCTTTAACATCAACTTTGCGTGCATCACCATACTCTCAGTGAGAGGCAACCAGGGGCATCACTGAGGCAGATTTGTGCTTTTCTGGGGCAAAGCCTGAACACGAAGCACACTGGCCTTTCAGAGAGGATCACCTGCCCACCGGTTCTTAATGACAAACGACGTTTTATCAATGCAGACACAGCGGGCAGCAATATGAAATGATGTGATATCCATTGGGTGCCATAACAAGGTCGATGGCCTGAGCCATTGCTGTACCAGACCCCGCTGTTTTATGAATAGGCCCATACGAGATGAACCTGTTGAATAAAGTAATGGAGACACGCGGGAAAGAAGCCAAGCCCACGCTCCTTTACAGAGTTATTCTGGACTGAAACACAAAACACGAACAACAAACTACGAGCTTTCAGTCCTTGTAATCTCACATTGGCACAGTCATCATAAGACTTTTTTTAGTTAACTGAATTGCATTTGACAAATATATGGGAAAATTTGTGCGTGCGTAATAGTGTATCCCTGCCACACAAACACGCACACCCCACCACAATCTTGCACAAATCCTGAGTCTTTGTAATTATAATCAGTCAGGGTATGAAATGTACCCCTCTCAGGTGATGGTGCACAGACGAACACGTGGACCTGACGCAGAATGTGGTGCCAAGCCCAACCAACAAGTTATGCCACTGAAGTTTATATATGACCGTGCCAAAAATAGTAGGCTATATTAAAATTAATGTCTGAACAAAGCCATTACTGACATCCAAATCCTATTTTAATCTAGCAAAAATATAAA